TTGATCACCTTGTTTATTTTTTACAATTTGGCGCATAAAGCAAAATAGAAAAGAAGAAATGGAATAGTTATGATTTAAAAACCAAAACAAGCGGCTTGTACTCAGTTTTGCACCATCCATTTTTGGCTCATATTTTGCTCTTCTTACTTTCATATCAGCGATAGATCGGCAATTTGGAACTTAGTCTTTAACTATTCACTGAAAAATGAAGATAAAGCAAATTGTATTATCTCCCTGACTAAAAGTGGGTGTTCGATACGCACTATTGCTGAGATGCTGAAAATCAGTGGTTGTTAAGGTGCTGAAAAGATGTTGAATGGTCGCCGTTCCCTTCTAACAGACTCTGACGCTCGACTTATGATGTCTAAAATGAGAAATGGTAGACTTTTAACGCCAAAAGAAGCTTCTGCAAAAATAAATAAAGACATAAGTCGATGGACAGCTAGAAGAGCGCTTGGTAAGATTGGGTACGGCGCAGCAGTGAAAAAAAAAGCAAACTAGTTTTATCCTAGAAAAATATTAGGGATCGGTTGAAATTCGCCAAGGAATACAAGAACTGGACAATAGAAGACTGGAAATGTGTTATCTGGTCGCACGAATCTAAGTTTAATCGTTTTCAATCGGATGGAAAGCAATACTGTTGGCGGAGACCTTGTGACAAGCTACAATGGCTTCATGTAAAGCGAACCGTGAAAAATGGAGGCGGTAACATAAAGGTATGGGGGGTTCACGCATTCGCACGTTGGACCGTTGCACAAAATTGACCGGACTATGCGAAGGGAAGTTTATTTGAACATTGCAAACCGATCTTCCAAATTTACTTGACCAGTGCGCGTGCCCAGAAAAGGAAAACACTTTTCAGCAAGATGGGTATCTCAAGCACACTGTGAAAATTGTTAAAGAATGGCACGGAAACCAAAATTTTGAGTTGATGGAGTGGCAAGCGCAAAGTCCCTACCTCAATCCGATTGAAAACCTTTGGTCAATCGTAATGCGACGGCTCGGACAGTATCAATCAGCTCCATCCAACTTGTACGATCTTTCGGCGCGTGCTGAACAAGAGTAGAATGATATTCCGAAAGGAATATTCAAAAAATTAGTTGAAAGTATGCCAAAACGTATGAAAAATGTCATAGAAAATAAGGCTCTCTGGACCAAATATTAATAATGAATTTATTTTGTGTTTTTTCTTAAATGGTGCCGCTTGTTTTTGTTTTTGAATCATTACTATTCTGAAGCTTCTTCAACAACTTCATTTCTTATGCCTCATTGTTACACATAAAATACTATTGAAAAATTGTTAAACGTTGGTCGTGGAATCACTTTTGCTCCCCACTGTATATCTCTTTAATTAATTCGTACCTAAATTATGTGAAGAAATTCAATATTTTTTAGTTTTGAATAGTTTACTAATGAGCTGGAAATTTATGTGGCTGTTGGCAATTTGTCGATTTGAACACATATATACATACATTTTAAAAATTAAAATATAAAGTTAACTATACTTATTGGGTCAGGCAATAAGTCGCCCATTATTTTTGCATTCACTTGAAGGCTTTATTTACCATAATTTGAATTATTCGATGTATGCCAAATATGCACCCTTTTTCTCGATAACCCACTGTCGTTCCACTGTTTTCCTGTACAAACTAAAAGCTGAATTCTGCATGCGATAGTTTTATATTTTAAATTTTGATAATCCCTACGCTACAGCGAATGCAATAAATGGGAAAAGTTGAATTCGACACCGTAGTTGCTTCATTTTCTTCAATTAGGTCATACTTCCGTATGACCTAATAAAATTTAACAAAATTTGAGACATTAAACAAACTGAAAATGAGTCCATAACAGCTGTAGCTGTGGCAAAAGTACTTTGGAAATTTTGTGAACGCCCAATAACGATGTATTATAAATTGAGGTACCGTAACTCACAGTCAACTGTCAATAATTATTTCACATATAAACATTTTATATTTCTATTTATAATAAAATTGCTAAAAGTGTGGAGCTAAATGCAATATAAAAAAAACAGCATGGTCTAGTTTAATTACACTTCTGCTCGATCCAAATTCGGAGGCTTGCACGATCACGCTGACCAACAAGAGTTCAAATGTAGGCTTAAAGCTACCGTCTGGGGTCTACTATATACAGAAATTGATAATGATTGACTTTCCGATTTAAATGGTTTGCGCTCAATTTTGAACAGAAGCCGAATCTAAGCGAAAGGCAGATTTTAAATTTGACAGGTGACAAATATGGTGGTTGCAAGCCATAAAATGTGTCATGAAGTTCTCATCACGTCCATCAGAACTTACGAAAATTCTTATGTTTCAAGCCCTACTCACTAGAAGTATTAGTTGTTTTTGCAGAAAAACATTTGAAAATACTATGATGATGATACTTGTTTATTATTAAATATTTATTTATTATTATTATTATTTATTCAAAAAGAAATACAGTCTTAGACATATGTCGTTCACTGACACTGTAGTGAGAAAAATGCGTATCCACAGAGTAAACTCTCTCTAATTAAGGAGAACATAATAATAGTAACAAATGTTTAGTTAGATTTACTCGTGGCAAGTACATTCAAATTCAAATGTTTTAAAATTCAACAATTATCTAAGAATCAGTTCCCTTGCCTTTAAAAGAAACCAGCATATTCAGACAGTCTTAGCCATTGTAATCTAAACGCACCAACAACAGGTGGTCCAACATAATAAACAAAGAACCGATATTACGAAATTAACAACTCGAACTTACTAAACAGAAAAATTTATATAACAATTCTAAAGAAAACTATAAATTTTTCTTTCAAAACTATGAACAATAGAATTACACTTTCACTGAACATCTATTGTATGCCATAGAAACGGAGCGAATTATATAGAGAATGCTTTATATACGTACTCATACAAATATGCATGAATACATACATACATACCAAAAGCAGTTTGGCCACCACTTTTTGAAGAATACAAAATATTTTATTGCTTCGGTGTAAACTTAGACGAGCCCAATAAAGCCATTAAATGATTTCAATAAAAAAGCCAATCTTTCGACCTGATCGACTATTTAGGGGCAAACAAGTAAAATAAAACAAAATCAAAAAAAATAAAATGAAAAAAAACGAAACAAAATGAAATAAAATAAAAAAAAACTTATTGAAATAAAATCACGTTAAATTAAATTAAAATACAATGAAATAAAATAAAATAAAATAAAATAAAATAAAATAAAATAAAATAAAATAAAATAAAATAAAATAAAATAAAATAAAATAAAATAAAATAAAATAAAATAAAATAAAATAAAATAAAATAAAATAAAATAAAATAAAATAAAATAAAATAAAATAAAATAAAATAAAATAAAATAAAATAAAATAAAATAAAATAAAATAAAATAAAATAAAATAAAATAAAATAAAATAAAATAAAATAAAATAAAATAAAATAAAATAAAATAAAATAAAATAAAATAAAATAAAATAAAATAAAATAAAATAAAATAAAATAAAATAAAATAAAATAAAATAAAATAAAATAAAATAAAATAAAATAAAATAAAATAAAATAAAATAAAATAAAATAAAATAAAATAAAATAAAATAAAATAAAATAAAATAAAATAAAATAAAATAAAATAAAATAAAATAAAATAAAATAAAATAAAATAAAATAAAATAAAATAAAATAAAATAAAATAAAATAAAATAAAATAAAATAAAATAAAATAAAATAAAATAAAATAAAATAAAATAAAATAAAATAAAATAAAATAAAATAAAATAAAATAAAATAAAATAAAATAAAATAAAATAAAATAAAATAAAATAAAATAAAATAAAATAAAATAAAATAAAATAAAATAAAATAAAATAAAATAAAATAAAATAAAATAAAATAAAATAAAATAAAATAAAATAAAATAAAATAAAATAAAATAAAATAAAATAAAATAAAATAAAATAAAATAAAATAAAATAAAATAAAATAAAATAAAATAAAATAAAATAAAATAAAATAAAATAAAATAAAATAAAATAAAATAAAATAAAATAAAATAAAATAAAATAAAATAAAATAAAATAAAATAAAATAAAATAAAATAAAATAAAATAAAATAAAATAAAATAAAATAAAATAAAATAAAATAAAATAAAATAAAATAAAATAAAATAAAATAAAATAAAATAAAATAAAATAAAATAAAATAAAATAAAATAAAATAAAATAAAATAAAATAAAATAAAATAAAATAAAATAAAATAAAATAAAATAAAATAAAATAAAATAAAATAAAATAAAATAAAATAAAATAAAATAAAATAAAATAAAATAAAATAAAATAAAATAAAATAAAATAAAATAAAATAAAATAAAATAAAATAAAATAAAATAAAATAAAATAAAATAAAATAAAATAAAATAAAATAAAATAAAATAAAATAAAATAAAATAAAATAAAATAAAATAAAATAAAATAAAATAAAATAAAATAAAATAAAATAAAATAAAATAAAATAAAATAAAATAAAATAAAATAAAATAAAATAAAATAAAATAAAATAAAATAAAATAAAATAAAATAAAATAAAATAAAATAAAATAAAATAAAATAAAATAAAATAAAATAAAATAAAATAAAATAAAATAAAATAAAATAAAATAAAATAAAATAAAATAAAATAAAATAAAATAAAATAAAATAAAATAAAATAAATAAATTCAATTAAAAAATATTTATATACGAAATAAATTAATATTAAATTAAATAACATAAAATTATTAAAAATAATGGTTATAATCTAAAACGAAAACATAAATTGAGGGAATTAAAAAAAAATTAATAAAAGAAAATGATGAATGAAATAAAAAATCGATTTTACTAGGCCATGGGACCTATACCCAAGGCAAATAATCAATCAGAAATTAAAATTCCTGATATACACAATCTGTGCGGGTACCGGTTGCAAGTGGTTAAAGAGGACTACTTACAATTTGTGTTTGGAGTTTATGCTTGTTGTTGTTGTTGCTATCTTAGCTGTAATTGGAACTCTGTCTGTTGCTACTATGCCGCTTTTCTCTGTGCCACTTGTAGAAAATTGTTTTGAGTCTTTAACTGCTGATGCGCCATCATTCATCGAAAGACTCTTATCCACCTCATCGCTGGTTGTTGATGGCAATCGTGCTAGCTGCTCTTCAATATCACTTAGCTGTGCATCATCTGGTATGGGTGCTAGACAGCTGTTGTTGTTACTGTCCTCCTCGGTGCGCGAAAGCATCCAAACCGCATTACGATTGCGACAAACTTTCAAATTGCGTAGATCGGCAACATTTAGTGCTTCTGGTATCGGTGCGACAGTTGTTGACATTATTTTCGCATTGCTGCCAACTTTCTTTGCTATTTCGGTTATTTTTCTCGCGGCTGTGCACATATCATTTTTCGTCTGGACATCTGCGTTTACCTCCATGCCTCGTGGCATGCGCCTCTGTGCCGCCTCTTCATCACGTCGTAAATTCGCTGTAAGCTGTGCCACCTCAGCCTCAATTAAAGCATCCTCAACGTCCTCCACACTTGGCACAACATCGGCAGCAAGTAGTGCAACATTATCGCTGCTGCTATGGGCTGTACTTTGTTGTTGGCGCGCTGCGTTCGTCGTTTGAAATTGACGCGCAGGAGAGTCGCAAAAACTCGCTTCAGATTGTGTTTCACCATCACCACACGAGATGCCCGATGACAGAAATGTGTCATCCAAATGGTGGTGATGCCTTTGGTGGAGCGTACTAGCGGCAACTCGCGGCTGATAACTGAGCGCCTGTTCTTTTCTTTTTGTTGTTACGTTAGCCACATTTGGCAATGAGTCGAAGCAACTTTGGCGACTCGTCGATCGACTCAAATCATAGCTAATGAGACTCGACTGTTGCGAATGTGTCTGCGAGGCGACTGAGGGTGAAGGCAAGGCGGCAGGCAAGTGATCGACGATGTCATTGTCTGCTTGGTTGATGGCGCACGAGTGTGCGCTGGCGGTCGAGTATGCGCTTACATCGAGCAATGATATGTCATGCGGTAGCAGTGACAACTTCAATGGCTGAGCGTAATGCTGCTGGTTATGGTATGTCTGATGTTGTTTTTCTGTGTTCGTGTGCGGCTGGCGTGTTACCGTTTGTTGGGCTTGTAAATCACTTTTCGGCTCTTCTTGTTGCGGTTCAGAGCCGTGCGTTTGCTTGTTATGATTCTCGCAGTGCGCCTTAACCGCATATTGCGGTAGTGCATTAGTTACAGTAAGCGTTTGCCTGCTCTGCACTTTGTCACCGCCAAGCGTACGTTCGCCACCTTTGTGTGGGCAATGCGCCTTGCATTTACCACGCCGTTCTTTGCTATGGCTGCGCGCCTCTTCCTGCTTAGCATCCGCCGCAATTGCCTTATTCTCTGTGAATGGCGTGCGGCGACAATGTTGACGCTTTGAGCCATAATTAGGCGCCTTCAATTTACGTGGTGTCAATTTCGTGACTTTCGAGATGCTCGACTTGTGGCAGCTACTATCGACGCGTTGCAAAATATTTCCGTTTGTACCATGACATTTGCTAGCGCTTTGTTTTGCAACCGCCTGCAGCTCTGTGCTCTCAGCGGCAGCTTCATGCGCGCTCTTCTTAACATCCAAACGTCTGCGACTGCGACGTATGCTTGGCATGTTGCGAGGAAATAATTTTGCACAATCATTTATGGAGCCCAATGAACGTTGTGAGGTGCTGGCACTGTCCGCCAGTGACATTGCCGTTGAGCGCGATGAATCAGCAGCCTCCGTATTACACTTTGACGGTAGTTTTTCACTGCTTTCCATTGGCGTCGTGGTTGGCGTGTTTATTATTGTGGATTGTTTTTTATGTCCTACAATATTTGTTTGTGTTTTCGGCTTCGTGTCGCCGCTGTTATTATAGCTAATTTCACGGTAAAATTTTGTTGGATCATGCCCGTAAACAAAACAGATTTTCCACCAATTTTTTGAAGCTAGTAATTGGGCGCGGCGTCCTAATGCTTTTGTTAACGGCAAATTCGATTGCGCGCCCGTATTTGGCTTGAACGCTTGCAGCGCATGTGACATTTTCACAATTTTTTTTTTGTAATTAAAAAGTGAGCACGATTTTTGCGTTGTTTCTTTTATAAACTTTTCACTATTTTTAATTTATCAACTATGCGCTGCAATGCGCTGTTTATATGAGCCTTCAATATTTGTGCGCAACGCGCCAAGACCTTTCAGGTCTCTAAAGCGCTGCGGAGTAACAAAACACAAAACAGTGCCTGAGCGCGCTACAAGGCACGCCTATTTTTAATACAGTTTTCTTTTTTTTTCAATACACTAAACTAGGAGCACTCACTACAAAAATATCGTTTGCGCACGCGCATACTAAATTGCAAATCGAACGCTGCAATACACGCCCCAAATACATGGCTGCTCGCGCTTCTTTCAGCTATCATATAGGCAATTACTGTCAATGGCAATTATTTTGATACACGACGAGTGGCGCGGTGATCGCGCGTTCTAATTACGTGCCCGCATTTGCGCGCCAGCAAATCCGCTTAGAAATAACCGTTGAGAGTATTTGCACGACAAATCAATCATTGCTTTTATGCTAGCAAGAAAAAAGTTATTCTTTACGTCTGCGCATAAACCAGAACTCAAACGCGATCGAAGATAAAAACATGAGTTCGTAAAAAAACCGGTCGCTTAATCCACGCGTCTTGACGCTTCAAAGTTTCGTTACAAACTAAACAACGCGCTGAGAGTGCGCTTGGCGCATAGTTATGTTGGCGCATCATCAACGGCACCAACAGTAAAACAAAACCACCACCAGCAACATTAACACGATCTTTGCGCGCGATCACCACCAACATAAATGTTACAAAGTAATATATTGATAGCGCTGAAATGCGAAAGAAAGTTGTACGCGCGCATCAGAAAAAAAAAGAGTAGTAGTTCGCAGTAGAAACGGCAGCAATACGCATGCCTCCGAGCGCATAAAGTTGCTACAGCAAGAAACTCGATCACAAACAATAACAAAGCGAACAGCAAACGATTTATAACAAAATAAAAGGAATAGTATGTAAACAAAGAGCGCGCAAGAACGCACTGGCTGCAGCGAATATGTAACAAATTGAAATTCACCATACCCCAGACAAGAGCTCAACAGGTGCACTACCGAAGACGACGAAAAACGAAGAGTCTCAAATGAAAGAAACAATTGCAAAATGTTTATTGCCACCACACTCATAGCTCAGTAGACACGAACCACCGAAATGTTATTGTTAGGTGGTAAATATTGCTCTCATACTCTAAATTTTGGACTCTGGCTGCAACTACCCAACTCACTCTCCAGCCGTCCATAACTGACGACGTTAGTAGTGAAATACATACACGAGCTATCGACGCCGCTGAGAGCGGCGAAATGTTGCCAGCTGCCTGTGTGTTTGCACACTTTTGAACAAATTCATAATTTTCGTCAACGAATTTCATAATTTATTTGCTTTAACATAAACACAAGGCAAATATACATGATCTATATAGTAACAAATAATTAGTTACGCATTTAGTTTTCATTTCTTTTGAACAAAACTACGCATTATCTTCGATTATTTAATGTTACTTTAAGAAAGGCTATACTGGCAACCTTGTATAGCAACGAAAAATGAGCCGAGCCGGTTTTACGGAAAAATCAAAACTTCGTTGGTTTCTGCGACACAAACGTCAGCAGCGCTATGGTAAATCGGTGACAACTTAGTGTTTACATGGCGCTCTCATAAGATAGGTTACTATGGACGGCTGGTACGCGCGTTGGGTAGTTGCAGCCTCTATCGAGCGGCGTCTCCCTCTCTCCCTGTCTTCTACATTCTGTCTATTTATTTGCTTTTACTCTCGCATATGCGCTCTATCAACCAGTTTACCATAAACAACCAATAAATATGTAAACCAGTGGCACCTTCGCCACGATCGGCGATCGCATTTGGCCTTTGGCTCTCTCGCTCTCGCTTAACGTGTTTTTCGCTGAACGCGCCTATATTTAAGTAATCGCTGTCGCTTTTTTTCTCACCAACAGCTCGAGGTCATTTGACACAATTAATGTTGGTAAAGGATCGTTTGTCTATTCTTTTTTTTTTGGATTAATGATTGATGTGGTTGCTTGCAGACGATTCGGGAAATGCTTTGATTAAGTAGTTTGGTGGAAAGTGGAGCAGTGGAGCTGTTTAATGCCACCAAATAATTGTTATTTTATTTTAATTGAACAAATGATTGGCGAGAAAGGTGATAATGATTATTAATGGTTTGAATTAGGTTTCAATACGGATAATTATTTTAAATCTTTTGATATTTTTTCAATCGGAAAAATCCATATTTTTCTGCTGAATTATCATCAGTGATTCTTGGTGTAAAGACGGATGTAGTTACTTTTCTTTCGATCTAAATTTTACCATATTTAACAAAGAATAGGAAAACTGGATAGAAATATAGTTATATTGCCATATGGAACGGGGTTGTACTATTCAAGTTTCAATGTATTACGGAATTCGTCTACGAATGATTGCCTGGTAAACAAGTCTAAACAGAAATAAAAGTACGAGCGCCCGGTTTGACCGGACTAACAAGACAAATGCAAATAGTCGAGGGGATTGAGGAAGGTAATATAAACTTTTTGGAAGGACTCTTGCAGTACGCTTGGAGCATAAGCAAAAGGGCTAGGCTGAGATTTATCCTCTCTTAGTCGCCTAATCCCATGGAGTATCTTCAAAGGCATGACCTGATTTGATAGCGACGAAATATAAAAATAAAAATAAAAAACTTTCATTATAAACTCACCTCGCAGGCAGCTTTCAGATAATGTCGAGTTACGCTCATTTGATGAGACCAATGAATTTTCCCTTTTCAATTGTTGAAATAAGCTGGGCAGTCAAACCAGATGACCAGATGAGATTTTCCAAGCACGGCTTCAAAGAAAGTTTCATAGGTAGCTTGCTCCTACAATTCAATATCAACCTGTTGCCCGACGACCAGCCTGTACACTACGTGTGATCAATAGGTAATGAGACTGACAACATGAAAACCGGTTATTTTAAAATTTATATTAATATTTTAAAAATATTCTACAACATCCCCTTCAAAGTAGTCCGCTTGGGCAGCTATACAACGATTCCAGCCCGTAACATTTCTGAAACCCTACGATTGGGATGTCCGCGAGTACCCTTGTCACGGCGGCCTGGATGTCCTCAATCGACTCAAAATAGATTCCTTTGCCCACCGATTTTATTCTAGGGAACAAAAAAAGTCACAGGGTGACATATCGGGCGAATAAGGCGGTTGTTGCAACCAGAGTGAATTGAAGTTAGTACAGATTATTCAAAGCTCAATGGGAGGAGGTTTTTACTTACGTAATCCTTCTTAGAGCTCGCTTTCAAGCTTCCAGACCTTTTGCATGTGTTCCAGGCTGAAATATTGACTATCAAGGAAGCCGATAAACACATTGGAAACGAATATTCAGCAAGAGACATATTCAGCTACACGATAAACTCTAGACTCAAACTGAACTGTCGTAGAAATAATCAGGAGATGGCTGAAGAGAACAGAAATAGGGATAGTCACTGAGCTATACAGTGAAACTGCAGAGCCAACGTAATTGTTAGGAAAAGAAAAACCAAGCAAACTCACAATACTAGTCGAGTTAAAGCGGGAAAATAACTATCGTAAGTCGAGACAAACATTTCTAAAATGAGAACTCATGGAAGAAAGATAAAAAATCATCTGAAAGTTAATTCAGATCCTGTTGGGACAATGTTCTCTGGGACAGTAGGCAGGAAGACTAGAGGCATATTTCAAAGGATACTATAGGAATGATGATAAGAAAGGAACGATTGCGCCGATCTAAGCATATCGGAAGCATGTACATGTGGCAGAAAGTCGCAAGGGAGGCAGTGTAAGTGGATGGAAGAAGCAGTATAGTTAGACAAAACTTTTGATGGCACCACAGTGGACTTACCTTCCTCTTAGCTTTAGTTAGAATCGAATATCAACATGTAGGAAGCATACTTAATACATATTATTAAATATTTATTTATTTTAAATATTTATATAAACCTGTAGATATAATATTTATGCAGTTATGTGAAAGTCATTCTTTACAAAGCTTGGAACCCATTGAAACTTCAGAAGAAATATTTGCGTTAACTAGAGACTCGACTCTCACATCTTCTAAAGAACAAATTATTTAGTTTATAAAAATTATTTTAATGTCAATTTGTTAGAATTTACACATATATATATAAATGTATATACAAATCTCCTTTTCATGAAAACGCTTACCTCATAGATACTCAAATCCCAAATATATAATCCCCTCAGCAAAATGAGTTTCAAACTGTTTCACAAGTTCACAGAATCACTGCTGCAAAGAAGAGAACAAAATAAATGTAAAGAGAGTATTTAGTATATTAAAGTAAATATTTACACACTTTGTTAGAGCGTTAGTACATAATTAATTTAGCTAATTAGTAGCGAGAGTGAATCAAAGTGAAATTCTTTGGCGACCAGCAGGCAAACAAACAAACAAACAAAGAGGCAAACTGCTTTGGTCGTACTGCGTTTAAAGGACTATGTGTAGGACCTTCGCATAGTTTAGCATACAAATATATTTATATGTAAATATATGTGTTAGTATGTGTGTACTTAGCATTGGTTGTACTTCTACAAAATTAAACAAATAAATAAATAAGAAGTGGAAATATTTTAATTACTGAAAAGCAAGCTGAGGCATACGCATAATAGAGTAAGTTCGGGGGTAAAGGACTCAACAAGATAGGATAAATGAGATGTGAGTGCGCTTGGAGAACATTGGCATGCAAAATGGGAAGAGATAAGGTAAGGATTGTCGTTAAAAGTGAAACGTTAGGATATTTGGCTGTCATGAGTGGAAAAGCAAATTTTTTGTTTCACTCGCAGGAGCTTTTCATTATAAATAAGAGATGTACGTGATGTTAACGCACACAAATACATTATATGCATTCAATAAATTT